AGAGAGAGAGAGAGAGAGAGAGAGAGAGAGAGAGAGAGAGTCTTTTTGAGACAAGGTTTCCTTGTAGCCCCAGCTGATCTGGAACTTACTATGTAGACCAGGCTGGCTTTGAACTCACAAAGATCCACCTGCCTCTGCCTCCTGAGTGCTGGGATTAAAGGTGTCGGCCAGCACATCCGGCTTCAAATATATAAATTTATTTCTGTTCTGGTTTCATATCATTTTTCCTACAACTCTTATGTACATTAGCATGCTACCAAATGATAATATTTTTACCTTTAATGTATTATTTTTCTCCTTTGTACCGCCATAAAATAGATAATTTATTGGTTTTCAAAGGCTTTTTGATCTTGTGTTTTGTGACTGGCAAATTGTGCCTATGTTTAATTTCTTTCAGTTAATCCTGTGTCTTTTCCAGATATACAGTAATGTATTACAAAAATTTCCCATCTTGTGTTTTACTTTGAATGATACTATAATGGTGGAACCGTATCATTATGTGTTTGTACAAACCTATAGAATGTGCAGCACCAAGAGTGAAATCTATAGTAAACTATGGGCTGGATGATTATGATGTATCAATGAAGCATCATCAGTTATAGTAATGTGTCATTCTGGTTCATGATGTCAATAAATGAGGAAGGTAGTTCATGTGTGGTGGCAGGGTTGTACACAAAATCTCTGTGTCGTCATCTCAACTTTGACTTGGACCTAAACTGCTCAAATATAAAACCCTACATAAAAATTCTTCGTCTTCCATTTTTTCCCTTCCCAATATTTACAGTCAGTTCGTTTTCATACCATGTTGCCCAAACAGGAATTTACTAGAAACACTAAACTTATAAATGAATAAAAGCATTCTTGTTCGGGTTCAGTTTTTATAGGAAATTATGTTTTTCATAATTTCCAAGATAGGCAAGTAGGTTTTTGAATTCTCTGTTAGAAACATAGTTGAAAGGAAGAATGGTGGCTTACACCTGTAATGTCAGAACGTGGGAGGCAGAAGCAGGAGGATCTGGAGTTCCAGCCCAGTAGTGGCTACAAAGAAAGATCCTGTCTTAAAACAAAACAGAGCCAAACAAAAGACATTCTTGGATCATGGTAACCATACATAGGAACTAGATGTTATTATCTGTTTTGAAGTCAAGGTCATAATAGTAAGTGCTTTGGGTTATTTAATAAAATCATCAGACATTTTTAGTAAGTATTTGCATTTTACTTGTTGCAGTTTGGTTATCGTTCTCACATCAGTGAAAAGTAGTCTGGAGTACCGGGTGGAACAAGTGTCTGAATTCAAATCCAATTCCACCTCGCACTAGTTTAACACAGTGTTGTGTGGTAGGGAAAGCATGGGCCCTGTCATAAGACAGAACTGATTTAGAATCCTTGCTTTGCTGCTTAGTAGGATTTTACTTTGGAAAAGATTCACTGTATCTGTTTTGAAGTCGAGGTCATAATAATAAGTGCTTTATAGAAATTATTGTGAGAATTAAATGAGTTAACACATGCCTGGTATGGAGTAGTTCCATAGTAAAGGATATCATTGTAATTATTTAGTCCTAAGGGAGAATAGGCCTTTAAAAAATAGCATCCTTAACTTTTGTTTATCCTTTTTGTATCATTTTTGTCAGTATCATTCTTAGTGCATTTTCCTTTGAGGGCAATTTTTAAAAATACATGATACTTTGCAGTAATCAGGGCAATTCCTTTAATACATTCCTCAAAGGCTTGGAGGAAAACCGCCTTGTAAATCCATCAGGTCCCAGCGTGTTTTGGAAGATGCAGTTCTTTAATATTTGTCTTGTCTTCTGTGTTTATTAGAATATATCCAGATGATTTTGACAATTTTATCTAACTGGAAAAAAATGTCCAAGTTTTAGAAATCTTCTTTGCAACCTAGGAATTGTTGATCAATTTGTTTACCTGTGCTTACAATTATTTCAGCATTCTGCTACTTACTGGATTGCCTTACCTTTTCTTCTCAAAGAAATATAGTCTGTGCTATTTTATAAAAGCATTACCTTGGAAGCCAACATTCATTTGACTGTCTAAACTTTTTCAACAACTACATTCAGCTTTTTTTCTGTTTCTTTGTTTGGATGCTTTGTGTGAACCGCAAACTCCAAATTCCCAACTCTGAATGAAAAAGACTTTTCAGGAATGAATGAATGAATAACGAATAGTGCCAATAGCTCTTGAACCACCCTTCAATGGTTTGAGGCTGCTTTCTAAAATGACCACAAGTGCTACTGTGAAGAAGCAGCCTGCCGAGCATTTCCAGATCACAGCAATAATTAGCAAACTGTACTATTGCAGATAGTACAAAGCTGGTGAGACTAATTCTGCCTGTTCTTAACGGGGGCGGGGGGGCGGCGGTGCCTTGCTTCTATGTCCAGTTGTAGAGGTTAATTATCTTTTTAAGAGAATAATAGACGAATTATGTTGCTGAGCTGAAGAAGAAAAAAAGTAAATAAAATTCAATATAATAAGACTGCAAAAAAATCCTTAAAATCCAAGGTATAGTAACACATTAGAGATTTTAAATGTTCACCTATCTGGCATCTTTAAAAAATGCTTCCAAATTTGTTCGTTGGTGGATTATAGTAATCCTTCTATTACTAGATCAATCTGTAACCTTTAGAATTCTTTCCTACATCAGTCAAAGTTGATTATATTGTATTGGAAGAACCTTCTATTTGAGGCTGCTACGTCTTTATCCAGTCTTAGCCCTACCTTTTTATGTATTATTGTCCATTTTAGGCTTTAAGATGTAGCAGAGCTTGGAAAGAATGTCCCCAAGGCACATTTAAATGTTTGCTCTGTTTGAAAGGTTGGGGCAAAGGGATATGACTGAAAGTTTGAATGCAAGAGTCGCAGACCGGTAAACTTTGAATATTTGGCAGGATAAGCATTCTGAGATGCAATTGAGGAGCAGGTGTAAGTGTTACGAGATTTAAATGTACATACATGTATGGTAAGATCTCATCTAGACTATCAGTGAATACACAACCCTGTTTTTCCTTGGTCCTGCCCCAATTCATGACTAAGAAGAAAAGAAGGTAAAAGTGTTGGGTAGTTCTAACAGGCTACTAAAGTGGAAAGTAATTCCAAGCTGACTTCACCTTAGGAAATGGGACTTTCTAAGAAGCTGAGGGGAGGGAACATCACTTTCCTATGGCCTTTTGGAAATATTCCCTAGTGGCTCCAGGGGCATAGAAATTTGCTTTGCTTTACTTGTGGAAGCCATTCCACCTTGGATAAAAGGAAGGCAGCTTACCAGGATAAATTTCTCTGTAAATTCAATTTTCTCTCTAGTGTAGGAAAGAGAATAATAAAATGTCATTTAAGCTTTCCACTGGTCAGAGATTTCAAGAAAGACACTACTGAAACTATACTATCCCAAGAAAGGGCAAATTTCCTGGGGATTATATCCTATGGTCCTGCTAAAACAGTTATTCTAGCAAACAAGGAACAATAAAACTGGGCCAGTTTGTGTGGCATTAGGGAAACCCCAAGTGTCCCACAGGAGACGACATGGATTGCCATGGCCGACAGAGGTAAGGGAATTGGCGTTGGCCACATTTAGTATAAAGACTCCTTTGTTGAGTCACTGCAATAACAGTTCCTCATTTGTTGGATCACTGGGTATAAAGTTATATAATTCAGCCTTGCCCTTCTCTCCAACCTCCTGTAGTAGCCAACGCCTTGTCTTTAACTGTGGTAATTCTTGGACTGGCAAAGCCACTTCCTATATGCCAGACAAATTTGACATTTTACAGTAGTGCAGGGAATTTGGCAAGTATGAAGGAGGTGGGGGAGAAGTGCTTAGGAATTCCTGAGGTAGTAGAAAGTCCTGATTGGTTTGACTTATGCTAAGATCCTTTACATAGCTAGTCACACCCACACCGGCCCTGCTTGCTAAACACTACTGCAGATTTTCTGTTATGTGAAGAGCAGTTTCTGCCCAGTCTTCTCCTAACCAGTACTATCCTACTCTGATTATCTTACATTTAACAAATACAGATTAATGTCTTGCCTAAAAATTATCTGCATTCTATTTGGATCAGTCCAGAAGAATTAAAAAGTATAATTAGTTGGAGCATGTACTCTACTCAACTGCTGCTTAACTATCTCCTGCAGTGGTTTTACACTTTGTGTAGAGCTTGTAGAATTCAGTCCTAGGTTGAAGCAGTTGATTGCATGCAGAAGAGCAGTCATGAATTGCTATGAGCTCCTCACTGACGATCCTGCATATGAGCGTGTTATCAACTACAATTGTCCTCATAAAATTAAATAAAAGCACGCGTTTATTATTGTGGGGCTCCAATTAAGGGACAGCTGGTGCTCCTATTACACTTGCATTAAATCGAAACTTGTAATTTAGCTGTCCAGATGCACATTTTTAAATCAAAATATAAAATTGCATTTGCTTTGTCCAGTTTCCATTCAGAAGTATCGGGAATGTTACCTCAGGGCTCCTCCGGTAAACTCCCTTAAAGGAGGGGAAGCATTTCCTCTGATCAACGTTTTTCTCTCTGAAGTTTTTAGAGAGAAATAAAAGATGTGAGCATCTATGGAAGGGAGGAGAGCCTGGAAGGCAAATGGTGAGTTTTTACCCCACAGTGCATGCATCGACCAAGATCGTTTTGACATGACCTATTTCAGAACGCCACTGATTTCTGTAGTGTCAAGAAACGCTCGGCATTACAATTCTAATTGGTACTGAAGCTCTAGAAACTTTCATGCCGGCCTCGCTTTCCACTGGGGTGTGTGCCCGCTTCCGTCTGGTTTTGCTTTTTGTATAACCTGAGCTTTATGATTTGCCCATCCCTTCCCCTTATAATGAAATGACAAAGGACATTCCCGGCGAAGGCTGGGCGTCGGGGGTTTGGAGGGCGAGGCGCCACACCCCCTGAGAATAAAGCCCGCGCTGCGCTCTCCGAAAAGCAAGCACGAAAGAACGAACGAATCACAACACAAAGAGTATATTTTACGACGAAACAGCGCCCTACAGGAAGAAAGTGCCCGACTCCAAGTGAGCGCTGCAGGAGCGCGACTTTTTGGCGCTCTTTGAGAGCAGCGAGAGGGAGGCGGGGGACCGAGAGTCTGGGGCGGGCGCGGGAAGCGGAGCAACACGCGCCGAGTTCCCGCGCCTTTTCCCGCCGCCAGCCGGGGCTGGGAGCTGCGCGCTGAGCCAGGTGAGGTTAGATGGGTGGGCAGCGGGCGGTGGCGGGGTAAAGGGGGGAGGCCTGGGGGGGCGCGATGCGGATCGCGACGCGCTACCTGGGCCTTTGGGGCGGGGCGGGGCAGGAGGCCTGAGGAGGGCGGTGGAGGATGGCGCCCCCCCCCGACCTCGCGGACTTCCCTCGACTTTTCCTGTGGCCACCTCAAAGCCCCCGCACCGCTCGGGACCCCGCGAGTCCTTGGCGCGACTCTGCGTTGGGAGGAAGCGGGGTAAGCACTGAGCCCCTAGGCTGCCGTGTGAGGTGGACTTGGTGGAGGGGGACCGTGATGGTGGGGTACCCGCTACAACCCGGGGCACGCCTTTGCCCGGGGGTCGGTCGGGGAGGAGGCCCGGTCGCCATGACAACCGCGAGCCTCAGCTGGAGCCGGGTGCCGGCCGGCCTGCCATAGCCGGCCGGTGGGAGCTGTGGCGCTCTGAGGTGTGCTTGGAGTGGACTGAACCAAGGCGGCGCGAGCGCGGGGGAGGGCCGGCGCCTCCCAGGCCCCTCCTCCAGACCCCAGGCCACCAGGGCGCCCCGTCCGGGACCCGCCACAAACTAGCGTCCCCCCTCCCTCGGCGGGGGCAAAAGCCCGAGGACTCGAGGGGAGCAATAGGGAGCTCAGGGCTTGTCGTCTTAGTCCCCGAGTCCCCGAGTGCGTGTTTCTGAGACTTGACGTTGTGTACCCCACTACGGCTGACTTGGAGCCAGGTAGCACGTCCCAGCCCTGAAGTTCTAGACGTGGGGCGGGCTTTAATTTGCTTATATCTAATGATTTCGGTACCTCGCTTTAAAATGGCGGCATTCACTATACACCCCGGCCAAAGGCTCTCCAGGCACCGGGGCCACTCGCACAGCGCTGCTCTTTTGCTTCTCCCGCTACCAGATGGCACGTGCCGCTGCCGCCTGAGAGCAGGGCCCCTTAGCCTCTGGGTCTGAGCTAGCAGCAAAAGGTAAGGCTGGTGATGAGTTGGGGTTTGTGAGACCGGCTGCCTTGCTGCAACGCCGATGAAATAGACTACATTTTACCCCCCCACACTCCCCCATGGCAAATAGCAGGAAAATGAGTCCTGCAACTTGTTGCGATTTTTTTTTTGAGTTTTGATCTTCCTCTTCTTTCCTTTCTTCCCCCACCCCTCTACTTTTTCTTCTTTTTTAATTTAAAGGAATTTCTTGCATGGCATGTCATCAGCAAATGCTTTCGACAACTAATTTTCCCATTTCCATGCGGTGTCTGATCGGTGCCGTAGCAGAACCACATCTCTGCCCACGCTGAGTCGACTCATTTGAGCAGTTTGCTTTTATCACCTGGGGCTGAAGGGCATCAGGGTAGTTTTAAAAAGAATAACTAGTTATTAACACTCACACAATATGCTTCTGTGATCAGAAGCTTGACATTTAGACTATCAGTGTCTATCATGTTTTAATTATGGTAGACGTACTCCGCTTTTCAAAGCACTTTATTGAATGGTATACATATATACAAATACGTGAATTTATCATTTTAATTGATGTGTTTTCAGGAAGTGTTTTTCTTCTAGATGTTCTTAATTGCCGTTTATAAACTGGTCTCCATTCTCCACAGCCTCTCCATATGTGTGTGTAGAGTTCACGAAAAAACATCAATTAAAATAAAACAATTGCAAGATTTAATTTTGAAATGATTGGTAATTTATTACAGTGCTGGCTTCTTGGTTTAATTAGTAAGTCTTTGGGTGATTATTGACATAATGGTTCGAAAACAGACTGTTGATATAACCAAACAAATGACTAGCCGTCAGTGCCTAATACAGTTTATCCAAATATTTCCTCTCTTCTGATGAAAGGCATATTGACAATGAGACTTAGCAGAGATGTTGGCTTGTTCCTGATTATAGTCACATTTTCTCTTTTGCCTATGCAAATTTAGTCCTTAATTTTATTTTGAGCTTGTGAAACTTTGGAGTGAATGCTTTCATATTTATGAAATCCTCTGTAAATGTAGCCTAGGTAGATGTTTGTCTCAAGACCAACTGACAGTAGTGTACCTCTGTCCACCTGTTACTTCTCCCAAGCAGTAGAAACTACTTGGTTGGCAGACAGTGCTGCCAACTTTAGCAGTTGTCTGGAAAGGAAGGAAAATACCGCTTTGTACCTAATAAAGCACAGTGCAGTTTTTCTACCCAGGTGCAGCAGTCTACCGAGAAACAAAGACCCAAACTGCTTAGAATGGAATTTACCGTATAATACTTTCTTTACTGGTTTTAGGTTATTGTTCAGAGAACCATGTGAAGCAACTCACATTTGAAAGAGGAGTTGCTACAGGTAGAGTAATCCATGCTTGCATTTATGCAGTGGAGCGATGACAAAAATAAACTTCTCTTATTTTTAATGACTACAGACTTATATCCCCATTCTATAACCTGGGCTTCTGCATGTGCTGCCTTGTGGCTAAGTGATTTTGAATCAAATGTATCATTTTAAAAAGTGAAAATATTAAACCTTGGGGCGGGAGTAGACAATCTAAACTGGTGTTAGAGGGATGAGGAGAACAATTTTCCAGTTACCACTCTGCTGTCTTATAGAGGGATGAGATTAGAGATGTATGAAACATTAAGTGAAAGAGTTTGTGGAAAACATGTTTGGAGAGAGAATTGGTACAGTGCTGAGCTACAGGTGGTGACTGTATGTTTTACTCTACTTCTAAAAATGACCTCATTTCTCTGACTTCCTTTGCTGCCTTAAGCTTGTATAGTGACTCCCAGGACTTATAAAGTAGCTTTTCTTCAACTGTCCACTTCTGGCATTTCACAACACCTGCTTTTTAAGACCTATGATTATGAGTCAAAGTAGCCTTAGGATTGTATTTATACCCATGTTCTACCTAAATAGTGTTTTGCACAAGTAGATGTTTAATAAATGTTCAGCTATAAAGAAAAAATAGGTAGTTTATAAATGCACAGAAGAGATTTTGTGCACACCTTTTAATTTAAACAGAAAGCTCTTTTGTCTGCTTGTAAGAACCTAAAAATGTAGATTAGAACGTACATTCTCCTAATTGTATTCTACTTGCCTCAAATGAGTTCTCCTGTCTGCTGTTGTACTTCCAGAAACTTGTGTAAGTCATCCTTTTAACCAGTAGGTGTATTATTATCTGTCCAGCAGCTTTACACAATGAAGAAGTAAAAAGCGGCTTGGAAGTAAAAAAGGGTTTTGTCTTTGGAGTGGCTACACAGTACTACAAATGCTGGAACACTGACAATCTCTTGGCTGTTGTGCAGATGTTGGCAATATAGCTTGAAGTACACTTCAGTTCTCCATTCAGCTGCCTTTGCTTGTGAGGGAAGAGGGGAGGGAAGAAAGGGAGTGAGAAGCCTTAAAGTGATGAAGATGTTCATTCATAAAATTTTGTACTTGCCCTGCTTCTAGTGTGATAAATTTGGAAAGGTGGCAGAATTCCTGTTTTGAAAAGATTTTGTCTGATAGGATTACAAACAAGGACTGGGGAATACAGAGAAGAACAAGTTGCAGTGCATGTTTGACAAGTAACTTGATCTGTCATTAAGGTGAAGTACTGGCCAATGCCATGTTAAAATTCTCAACCATCTTAGAGATATACAGGTTGCATTCACCTTTATGTCATAAATATGCCTCCATGGTTTTATTTTTTGTTATTATTTCGAGACAGGGTTTCACTATGTAGCCCAGGCTTGCCCTGAACTCTGATCTTCATGCCTCAGCCTCCTCAGTGCTGTGGTTGCAGGTGTGGGTCACTGAACCTGGCTGCTGAGTTGTGACAATAATTGAACAAATGGATTTTCACCACTAGAAATGTATGCAATGTCAAGAAAATGGAAATCAGAAATTATGTGTCTTTGTGAGATTTTCTGCCCTCCCTAGGTTAGGTATGATATGATGCTTACTTCAAAAATGGAAACCTGAGCTTCAGATAAAATGAGGTGAATATTTTCCTTGTAAGATAACAGGCCGTGTCTGGGTACAAGTTTAGTTGTTTGTCAGCTGCGTAAACACAGTAAACATAAACTGTGACCACATAGGTGCAAAAAGTCTATTTAATGTAGACTTTAAGATCTATAGGGAATCAGACAGTTATATGGTATCTTACTCTTCTGAATACTTCTATCTGGCCTTGAGACAGCCAAGTAACAATGCTGGAAAGACAACTTACAGAATTAGGAAAAATAAGGTATCCCTTATCTTACCAGATGTTAATGACATCCACGTGACATGCAAGGGGTTGGGATACATTTTCTGGTCATTTCTTTAAAAAAAACATTATGAACCTATTGTTTTTTTCTATTTGCTTTTAAATTGTGTGACGTTGCTTTTAAAAGATTAATGTTTACAATACAATTCAGGAAGTTGGGCCTCATTTCTATTTTAGGAATAAAGGTATTCCACATGTGTCTGGGAGCACATGTACATAACTGTATGTATTAGTGTTCAGTTAATTTTTACAGTCACACATTGATTTCTCTCTGAAATAGAAAAAATATTTTTACAATATTCTTTCAAGTGTAAGAATGAAAACAGAACAGGTTGACAATAAACTATAGCAAATAGTTGACTAAGTGATATACCTCTTTTGATTAGAAAAAGAACTGGCACTTTGACTGTTCAACTCTAGACCGTTCAATTTCAGGAAAATGATGCATTTCTTAGAAATTAAGAGGAAACAAGAATGAAGAGAGACTTGATTTAAGCGCAAGCGTGCACACACACACGTGTGTGTGTGTGTGTTATGTGTGTAAGTGTGCGATTTTATACTTTTCTGTGTGAATACTGTAAGGTTATTTTGATCACAGAACTCAGTGTATGAAATATATTTAAAGGCTTCACTGTGCCCCCAGGCCAATTTCAAACTCCTAGGCTTAAGTGATCCTACTGCTTCAGCCTCCTAAGTAACTGTGACTATAGGTATTTGTCACCATGGCCAGCTTCCCAGAACACTTTATAACAGCCATGAAAAGAAAGAG